TCAATTAGACAGTCAAACACTTTTTCTGTTCTCTTTCTATAATATGTCTATGCGTTTGTCTGCCTATTTGCCTATCTATCTTTCCGTTTGTCTATCTGTTTGCCTGTCTGAATGTCTGTCTGCTTGAATGCTACAGGAACAACCACTTAGTTTCTGACTTAAAATGCCAGCTTGCTATTGAACATCTGTCTAGAGCCTTCTCAAAAAAATATCTATAGATCTTGTGAGAGGTCTTAGATTAAAAAAAATGAAAAAGCAATTATGGTTGTTTTGAGATTTGATGTACCACCTGTATTTTGACAGTATTACATTTTAATAACGATCGGGCGTTATCCTATACGAACCTTCCACATCAACAGCATAAATTAACCCTTTCACTCCCAAGATCTCATGAGCAGTTCTCCTTATTGACTGTTGTACAATTCTTGTGATTTTAGTTCTGAAAATTTGTTACTGGATCAACTGATAATCCCCTAATTGATATTTCTCGTTATTCTCATCACCTGTCTGTTTGAAATTGCGTGGGTATTGTGGGGAGAAACTCTCAAAAACTCCTTTGTGGCAGTGTTTTTTTTTCGTGTAGTAGTTTTGTATATGTGTACATAATGTCTTTGCCCATGCTAGGGCAGTCGTGCCTGATTGAGGATCAAAATTTAAGTTGATTTTCGCTGACTTAGAGGGGTGTCACTACCTAGGTTATCATTAAAATTAAAAGAAAGACAAGTGTAACCGGCGTCCAAGTTCTGTTTACCTGCTGTGCAAACAGTTCAAAACACAACAGTGTTTGCAAGTAGTAAAAAGTTGTCAATTGGAGTGGAGAAAGTTGAAAATGCCGAGATTATTTTAGGACTTGACGCGTATTTGACATGCTTGTCAACATAATATATTCAAACAGTCCTTCCGGCAGACTATAATAATATTTTCGTAATTTATCTTATTCTTCAAATCTTAATGACATGGGAGGTTTTAATGAGGAGTTGTGTTAGCATATTCTAATAAAGTTCGAATGGCGAACACCAAAGTTCTCGCAAACGGCGCGGTTAGCATTCAAATAGTTATTCTAAAGCTGATTTATCACTAAATTATGAAAGGAGTCGTGTGTGATTTTGATCACGAATCGTGTTAAGAAACTAGGAAAAGTAATAAAAAATTAATGAAAAAAAAACAAGAAGGATAAGAAATACCGAGAGTCATCTAACTCAGATGGTACGAGATAAGAAATGTGTTAACTCACATGAAGTTACTTGAAAATAAGTTGAATTGGTGCTGCCGCTCGCAAATGGCAGAAAGGTAGCAAATATCCAGATTTTGAGGAGTGTGGATCCAAATCCCCAAAATTTATCAGCTGGTGGATAAAAAACTGAAATATTAAGTTGAAAAAGAAACAGTTATAGAGCGCCGTCACAAGCATGAAGTAACGTCCGTGAAAGTTGGTCTTTTCAATCATGAAATAACATAAAATAAATTGAAACCTACCCTTGGACCTTTTGGGAAGATCCATCAATTATTAGCGTTTCGTCTTCGTTGACCTTTAGTGACTCTCTCCAACACAAATTCTGGTGCAATCCAGACTAGAGATTTTACTCTAAGTGGTTTAGAAATAATTTTCTATCTTTTAGCGTAATGATTCTTAAAACTGAAGCACACAAAAAAGCCGAAGTTTCTGGACAAAAATATACGCACTTCTTCTCGCAAACAACGTCGATAATGGCGCATACTGTCCGGGGACTCTTACCATGTCGGCTGGAATCCTTTGTTGTTACTATGGTAGGTTCATTAGCAGAGAAAAAAAGCCCATCACGACGATTTTGCGAGAACATTGGAAGACACAACAGCTATAAATGGAGATGACACGTTTTCGATTTTGTTTATTTGTATTTTATCACTGGTGACCATAGAAAACTGGGAAGGCCTCCAGTTTTTAAACCCATTTTAACTTGCCGCCCGCGTATTTCAGTGGTTACTATTCGTTAGAAATAGGAAAAAAAATTTATTCTTCACGAACTCAAGTATCAAAATTATAAACAGAATTGATCAATCAAAACGCTGTAAAAGTTTAACTGAAAGAAACTGTGATTGGTTTGTCACATAAAACAAACAAGACTTTATAAACAAAGGACATAACTGTTTTTAATCACCCTAGGCTTGGAGAAGCGAAAAACTGTCAGGAACATTAACATTACATCACGATCTGTTAAAAACAATGGTATTTTTTTACTGAAGGCTAAAATAGTCAAATTCACCGCGTGAAATCTGAAGAATCGTCACTATAACAACCGCTTCAACATAAACACCATATAACTTCTGAGTTTCCATTTTTAACATGAGCCATTTGAATGTTCAGAAATGACTTCATTAGTGTGCAGTCCACTAATCACTGAAACCTTTGACCTAGTGTGTTTTATTCTCGTTGCGTATTTTGACATCGAACCATTTATTATCCAACTGCACTAGGTAGAGTGCAAATAAAGCTCGAATGGAGTACAAATATCCCGCGATATTTTACGGTTATTTGTATTGTAAAAAAACTTGTTTGAGAGGTTAGCTACACTTGCTTTCTCTGTTTACAGCCTTCAGCTCCTCAAGAATCGGCAACGATCCCTGCGAGGCATCGTCACCATGTGATTGAGTCGCATGATGACAATGAAATGTAGTTTTGGAAATTGTTTTTAACATGCCTAGAGCTCAACCATGTCCTTGAGAGTTTGTCTCCCGGTAGATTCAAAGCTTTGTTACTGGTGATAAATTATTAATCACTTTTCATTGCCAAGCGAACACTTTTGTAATTGCAGTACTTTCAACAAATGTTTTGTACTTTTTTCTAAAAATGCTAAATGAAAAGGCATTGAATGTTACGATTTAGAGTACATTTTAAGCCATATCAAAAGAAAAAAAACTAGGTCTTCTTCTACCCGAGGAGATGAAGCTGTTTGATATAAAAAAAAGTAAGAAAACAAAACAATGAAAACCAATATGTTCAAGGCAAAAATGCCCTTTGCCCTAGTCACGCATGTTTGCGTAAAATCTGTGAATAAGTTTCGAGTAATTTGCGGTTTAACAAACCTTTCCTTTTACATCAAGGAATATTTTTCATGATCAGATGAATTTCAAACCAAAGTCTCTAATTTGGAGAAGACATTAATAATTTAAAACCTTCAAATCGCATAGGAATACTAATTGGTGTAATACAGTTTAATCCTTTTGGACATTCTTACTTCACTTACGTCCGCACAGGAAAATTAGGATAATTCCGTAAATGTCTTCCTGTACTTTTAAACTTAACCATTCGATATTCACTTCAATGCGATAAGATTTATTTTGGTTTTTAGGACTCAACAACACGATCAATTTTTCAGACAAACAATTTTATGCAAGAGCCATAACGAAAAGTCAATTAAATGTCAGCGATAGTTACATAACTAATCATCATATTTGACATGTACTGACAAGCTAATTGTTGAAACGCCAGCGTGCGTTTAGCGACATCTGAACCACACAGAAAGTTTGGACAACACGAAAGTGAGTTTCTCGACCCATAGCTGACAGGAACTCTAACTCCCTTTAAACTCTCCAAACTTTCAAAGTGCCTCATATCTCTATAGAAAGAACAACAAGTACATAAACTATTTTTTTTTACATCTTCAATGCAGTAGATTTTACGTGATATAAAAAGGAAGCACTTTGACACACTTCAATGCCAAGGTAAGTCATTAACATCCTAAAATAGAGTTAGCAGCACCCCCGCGCAAAGGAGTTTGATTACACGATTTCACAAGCTGTGTGATCCCTCCCTAAGCCCTGATAATAATATTAATATTATCCACCCCCTTTGTGCCTGATTCAAGGATGCAACTGTAAGGAGAAATTAGAAGCCAGTCACTCTTATGGGTTAAGGGGCTAAAGCTAGCAACCGAATGAAAGTTTCTCTTATAACACTTTCTATTGTGTTAATCATCTTCATTTGGACTTTCAATGAACCCACGACAAAGAGCCCACATAACGAGCTCTATGATTGGTTAAAAGAGAGAGGTCTTCATTAAAGAATATAAACACGTTTGGTTGAAAGACGGTGAACCAAGCTCTGTCTAAGAGTTCGAGTTATGACTGAGACTATTCGTTACCTAGTTGTCAATGATGATAATTATGATAAAAATTTATGATAATAATTTATTGATTCATTTTGCACAATTATCAATGCAATATTTTCAATTGCGCATTATTGTGTTGAAAATTAAACTATACCTAAATATTAAACCTACAAGTTAAAAAAAATCGAATGTCCAAGGTGAATAAACATGTGAAATGCAACACGGATGGAACACAGAAGATCATTCCACAGTTTAAGGGCGGCAGCATGAAGGGAACAATCGCCGAGCATAGCGAATGATTTACCCTTTCAAAGCTGAGAGCAAGGCTTAAACTATCATTAGAGGGTAAAATGTCTCTACCATGAATAAGGCCGCTTAATTAGACCGGGTAAGACCATTGATGAATTATCGTTTGGAGATGAATTAATTGTCGCATTTCGTACTTCACTTTTTCACAAGGGGAATTTGTGTGACCCAAGAAAAGTCGAGGGCTCGCTTAAGATTACTTACATGTAGCTCAAGCGCCGGTACGAGTAATGTTAGATATGAGTGATTGGTTGATATTTTTTTACTGGTTAAGCTCTCTCTTCCAGTTGTCTATATTTCTCTTCTTTACAAGAAAACTGGCCAACGTCGACAAATTTTGTGTTGACGTCTTGCAAGGCTATGTTTTCATGGCAACAGTGGGCTTAAACGCTTGGAACAAGTTACTTTACAATTGAGAAATTGCTTTTTCAACCGAACTATTTCACTCTTAATTGTTTTTGCGCATTCGCATCCCACAGACTTATTATTATGACTTAATTGTTTCTACGTCTTGTTTCATCCCCGTCAATTATATTTCTTTCACTAGTTACCATGGTTGCAACCACAATCTACGTAAACAAAGCAGCATGGGGTGGTTGGGCAATCGGGTGTCATTATCTCTTCGCCAAAGGAAACAAAAAGTAGATCTATTTTTACTAAGTAGTTAAGAAAACGAAGACTTTGCTAAGGAAGTACTTGAAACTTTCAGTCCGCACTTGCTTAGATTCTGCTCGCTAATTCAGAGTTGATAAGTGGAAGAAACAGCTAAAAACAGGTGAAGACATGGGCCATTTTCGGAATTGTTGGAGTAAAGGAACGATTTTGGATACCAAGAAAGGTTCGTGTAAACCGTTCACGTTTTTTTGCTTCCCTGCCTTTATAAGATATCTTGTCATGGTAAAGCAAACACACTGAACTTTTATTAGTAGTATCTAAAAAATTATTTTAGTATGCAATTTAATGTTTCATCGATTCGTTACGCAAGGCATGAAAACAATTGCTGAAGGGAAAACGTTCTGCTTATCTCTATTTGTAGGTCTACCTCTGTCGCTAATCGTCAAGATATGGATTTTTATCGCTTTTTCATCGACGGCAAATGGAAATACATCTTCGGGTAGGTATTAAAAGCTTAAAATCCACCACATTGGAGGAAAATCCGCATTTCATTTAAACTGTAGTTCCAAAGTGAGTCTTCATTTGTCACTTGCGATTCATTCCTGAGTTTGCAAATATTTTTCCTGCACCTTCGAATTTCATCACGGATCATTTCATGTTATGTTCAGAGCACAAATTTTATTACGCAAGCGACAATCTTAGTTTTTGTGTCATCCTTTGTGAATAAATTTCCAGAATTATTCAAAAGTCCGATATGACATACTTGTAAAATTATTCAAAATTGCTTAAAATGGCTTCAAATCAATTTAAAAAGTCAAAGTTTGGCTGATTCTCTCTTCTGTTTGCATAGTCTCAATTAAATTCTGGCAAAACATCTTAACTACCCTAGCAACGTCAAAGTTTATCAAGAAAACCTGAAGCAGAATTTTTAATGAATATGGATCGCATATCAATAAATAATGCGCAGGAAACTTTAGCGAGAGGCAAACGTAATGTTGCAATGAAAAGCGCTCCAGTTTAAACTAAATCCGCTAGCTTCTTATATGTAGGAGTGTCATAAAATAATTACTAGAAATATAGGAGATATCGGCATTGATCAAAGTCATTTTACGACCTTTACGTCTCGTTTTAGACATGTGGATTTAGAACGCAACCTGAGAATGAATCACTAAAGGATTTACTAAGAAAATGGTTCTGAACTGTCACCCAACTCAATACTACCACCTTGAAATTGTGAGCGTTTACCTTAATTTATTGCAAAAATTTCTAAAGAAAAGATTTCTTTGCACTTAGTTTCAACACACTCAATAAAAGCTCATGGGTAGTACCAATTAAAATCGACGAGGAGAAATTCAAATCCGTTACTAAACTGTAAATAACGGCTTCTTCGCGCAATAAACAAAAAAATAAGATGAATTTGATACTTTGCCATATTGAAATTGAAACTTGGATGATGAGAGCTTGTGCAATAAATTGGCTTTTATTAACTCCCAAGCAATAATGAAAGACAAGAAATACCAGCTGTGATTACACTTTGTGTTGACATAATTCCAATTTTAAGGAAAACTGTTACTGACGAACAGTGTGCTATGAAACCTAGTTCTCTCGAGTACCGGATTAATTTCAAAGATGCATCGCCCTTGAATCGCGTACCATCAAGTATGCGGTGTTTGCCCGGGCGAGTAATCGGTTCCTGTCGAAAAATTATTTCCATTTTTACTGCACTGTGGTAACTTCTCTATTTTCCGCTTTTATTTGGCTGATGATGACCATTCTTAGACTTCTTACGCCTTTGTTGATGTTTCGGAACTGAACAAAGACACAGCGGCAAGGCTTATTAGATGGTGCAAATTTTGAATATGCATACGAGTAGAATTTTAATAAGAACCTTACCAAAGCGAACTAATCACGTAACTTTGATGCCTCACATGGAAAAGCGCTATGCTGGCTCTGGCTTCATTTTCTAACGAAAACGAGCCAAATTATAAAGCGAATTATTAAGAACGAACTGTAATGCATACGGTAAAATAAAAATTATTTCGAATAAAAATTTGTTTTAGGGCATATGAATTTTTAACGCGTTTGAATGAGTTAGTAGGAGGCTTCAATTGAATCTCACATGGAAATAGAAAACATCCAAGATAATCCGTTTTGCAGGTGGTTAGCACAGCAACCCGGCTCATAAGCAAATTCGACATCATCTCCAAGAAGAGACTCCCAATTGGTACTCAGACTAAACCCATATAAAATGACAAAACAGAACGTAAATAAACCTGAGTGTTCAAGTGGCCGCTTATTGAAAGACCCACCGCCTCAAAGGGCACGAAAAGCTGATTTTTGTTGGCTATTTCTCATTCAAGATCGAGGTTTTGACAGATTTTAAATTTACAAAAAATAAAGATCTCACACAAAAAAGAGCAGTATGGGCTGGTGCTTGAGATAAGACTCTCTATATCATTCCACAAAGTTATCGCGGGACTTTCGAGAAACGAACACATCGAATGTATCGTATATTTTCCCACACTTGTGACAAATTTTCAACGGTTTTTTCGGACAATTATCCTTTCCACAGAGTTATAAGGCACAAGGCCGTAGCTGGCGGTGGAAAAACTTATTCGATAAAATTATTTTCTCGTCTTTTTCTTTGATTACTTATATTATCTCTCGACCTTTGCACGAGCAATGACCTCGTTTGCACGAAATTAAAAACCGAAAGGGAAGCAAGCTCAAGGATAATCGTCCCTTCGTAGTTCCTTTTAGTTTTCGTGTCATTGGCAAGCTCCACGCCTCCTTCTTTGAAAATGCTGAACGAGACCTGGGGAGGGTGGCAAACCCCAAGGACAACAGGAATGAACTCTGGTGTTCGCCTCATTGTCCTCCGCCTCGTCCTAATCAAAAATTACAAGTTACCGCCACGAGGCGTATAGTAACAATCTGGCCAGGGTTGCTCAAAGCTGGGTGAAGATAACCCAGGATTAGCGTGAAATTTGATTTCAGGTCTGAAAGAGAAAATTCAGTTCAAATCTTTTTTTTTTTGCAATTTGATCGTTGAATGTTCTAAAAATAATAAGGAAAATCTTTCCCTTAAAGGCTTTTGAACAAAGAAATAAAGAAACATGGATTAAATTCAACCCCAGGGTAGCGCTAATCAGCCTTCGAACAAATGGGCCCAAGAACTCTATCTGAACTGATAAACTTGCCCTTTTTTTTGCAGTGAATTACTCAATATCTGTAGGAGACCATTCTACGGTCACTGAGTCAGTCAGTTGGTCCGTCAGTGGGTCGTTCAGTGAATATCACACTACTGAGGGGATAAATGTTACAGCCATAATGTCCCACGTCATGAGCAACTCTGTCCCAGTTTCCTCGTCGCCTATGCTGCCACCACACTGTTACCGTGTGTGCTACTGCAATAAATCTGTTGGTGAGTAGTGGAGAAATACAGTTGGAAGACATCCATAGAGGACAAGATCAGTTTTTCGTCCAATAACTCGACCAAAAAGATTTCCTTCAGTAACTAATTTATGGAACATAATCGCTTGTAGTTTCAAGAGGGACCTTTTGCTTTGGCGAGAGTGTTTTAGAACTGTCTGGAAACTGACATTTTACTGTATTTGGTTTTCAAAACTCTGAAGAACAGAAACATTTACACAGAGCAAGGAACTTGAAATTCATAGAAAACCGTAAACAGACGATGAAAACAAATGGAAGAATCAAACGATATGTAACAAATTGTCAATACAGCATAGAGGAAGAACGCGAAAAAATATTTGATAAATGGGAAGTTGTATATTTAGTTGTGATTGAATACTGTCTTGAGCAATGCCACTTCTCTTCATAGAAGACTTCGTAGAAGCGTGTAACATCCCGCGTGCGAAAGTATTAACAATTAATTTTTTTTCATCAAAGAATATGCCACTTCTTCCATGAAGTACAACATGACATTACACTCGTCTTCCGCGATGTACAACGTGACCGTTAGTGCTATGGATAACATGTCGTCGATGCCCTCCTCCGATGATTACAACATGTCTTCAGGGTCCATGAATGCATCGTCTCACGTGAGCCCCTCCCCATCTAGTTCCGGTATGGCGTACACGCCGAGCGCAAACGTCACGCCAATGCACTACTCTTCTACTCCATGGCCTGCACCGAGTTCTTCAGTGCCTGAGCCTTTCCATTGTCCGAATGTGTCTTGTTGGGTAGAGATTGAGTGCATGTCCCGTGAGTAAAAATTATTAATAATTCTAGTCTGGAATTCTTGCTACTTTGAAACTCTTCGTTGGTTAAGATGAGCTTAACATTTTGTAGATTACATAGTTTTCATGTCCTTTGAGTAGATCCAAACTATGCTTTTTTTGCTCAATTTTCAGATACCCATAGCATATCAAAGACCTCTTATGTATCAACATCATCTGTTCCACCAACAGTTTGCCCAGGGGTCGTAGACTGCAATGGTACGTGCTGCATTGATTAAGCATATCAAAAATGCCACTAATATTCAATTTGTTATGCCAAACTATAGGCTGCCTATGTAATTTATACCTTTATCCCAAATTACAAGTCATGAGATTATACTTCTTGATAATAATAGACTATGTTTAAACAGCATTTTATGGGTGGTCGTTTATGTCTATCTTGGAAAACTTCCCTAGATTTTTCAGTGTAACAATCTTCATCGTGGTTTTCTTTGTTTCATTCATTCGCTTGGAGGCATCGTGGCCGAGTTTCCTAAGCTCTAAGCTCGCGATTTGGATTATCCAAATTCAAACTGACCTACAAGCTCGTGATAAATGGCGAACTGGTTCACAAACTACCAGTCGAAGTTTTCTCTGCATCAGTTTTCTCTTGCTGCCAACAATGCCGGGTGTAAGTGATGTGTTTCTCCTTTCTTGTAGGCGATTGTGGCGGTAGCGCTGAAGAGGATTGTGGTATATGTTATGGGGTGAGAAAAGAGACATTTCTGATTGCCCATGATCCTTTGTTTTAGTTTTCAATAGTTGTAACACACGCAGTAAACTTCATGATGCAAAATCATGAGCAGTCCTTTTCGAGCCCTCCCCCCCATAAGAGAGCCATGAATTATCAAAGGGAAATGAAGAGATCTTTCTTGCGACAAGGACATCATTTGAGGATATATAATATCTACTTTTATTTACCCTAGGTGAAATTGCATCATAAAAAACATTTTCCATTAACATCCATTTGAATGAAAATTCCCCTTGACCCTAGAATGAGTAGTGCTTTATAATTTCTACTTTCCTCTAATATCCACTCAAAGGGAAATACGAAGAAGGAAAATCCGAGAGACTGCGATAGACGATGCAATGGTAGTGCAACAAAATCGAACGATACTTGCTTTGAATGCCTATTAGCTGGTGAAAATAGCGTTTTTAAGGATTGTAACAATGACTGTCACGGGAATGCAACCCTTGACGACTGCGATGTGTGCACCGGCGGCAATACGGGGAAAATGGCCAACCACTTAAAGGATGCATGCGGTATGTCACCTACCAAATTATAATCCTCTTTGTCTCCCTCTGTGATGTATAAGACGACGAGGCGAGTAGAAGGTTCATTTGTGCTGAAAGAAATATCAAACATAACTATCCCGCCGAAGATTGATAACCACTGCAGTCTCCTGATAAAATCAGCGTTGACTCTAATTTTGACGTTATTTTGCTGTCTCAAATCTAAAAAAACCTTTTCGAAACAAAGATAGGCAAACTTTTTGTTTCTCTTCAATAATAAAAAGTATTAGGATAGCGTTAGGATAATGGTTGGATAATGACATATTTAAGAAAATTATTGTGCATAACTGAAAATGAACGAAGACTTTGAGGGAGAGTAGGGTTAGCGTTTACTTCAAAATGAAAGAGAAATGAAACGAAGAGTGATTTACTTTGCAAAAAACTGCAAAGTTTGTATCCCAACGAGGTCAACCTAAGCCTGATTCCTATTCGGAGGCTTCTCAACAAAGCACACAACTGGTAAATTAGCTTGTTTCATGTAGCACTGCAACAAATTTCATGGTCTATTCTACTCTTTTTTTACTGCCTATAATCTTAAACTAACAGGAGTGTGTAATGGGACCAACTCGACATGTATAGGATGCGACGGTGTACCAAACAGTGGTTTGGTGTTTGACGCATGCAGTAAATGCGGAGGGGACGGAACAACGTGCACGGCTCTCACGACAACTGTTCCACAAACCATTGCAAGCGGCCAACCTAAAGTCTGGGTAATTGGTGCTGGATTTAATGCAGGAATCGCAACTGTGTGTGTATTGTACAACCCAGATAGTGGAGTAGAGGTTGTTAATACTACAGGTATAAAAAAAATCTTAGTTCGTGTAAAAACTGAAAGTTCCTACATAATACATAATATCATCGATTACACAATCACGTCATTTGTTGGGAGCGGGGTAAATATTTGTGTGCTTTTTCTTCCTGTTAATGAATACGCTCATATGGGAAAAAACTTAGCGATCAGGGCCAAGAAAAACCGCTCTTAATTCACGCACCTGGCCTAAATATTGCGCTTTATTTAACGATGTAATTTGAATGGACCAGGAAGTTCATCTCTTGGTTGAAAGAATATATAGAAATTAATTTTAGTTAGGTAGGTTGAGCTCTTGTAAATGTGTTACCGCCGTTTAGAGAAACTCTTTTCATGGTCTTGGAGAGAAAAAAGTTAAAAAGGTCTTTTTTTTTACATTTGTAAACTGAAGGATCCCCAACGACTATTATGAAACCCTTTAAGTAGAGATCTCCTAACGCAAGCATAATGATTCACTTTCCACCCTAAGGAATCTTTGTAATTAATGGATTCTTATATCCTTAAAATTCTCTTTCAAGCCACCCAAAGAAATCTCACCCATGCTCACTGCGTTTTTCAACCATGGACCAATTACACCGCGGGAAAATACAACCTTTCAGTGATACTCGTCCACGATGGTGGTGAACAGATTAAACTCAACGAGTCAGTTCCAATATATTATTACAATAGCTCAAACCTCGCTCTGAGGAATGTCACACCATATGAAATTCTCAAGGACGACTTACCAGAATACGTGACACTAGTTGGCAATGGCTTCTTTGACTGGAAAGAGACCGTGTGTTATTTCAATTCCAGCGAAAGCAAAGAAATCATCTTTTTAAACGAAACTCATCTCAAATGCAAAGTAAGTGTTTATACCGAAGGGGGAGGGGGGGTCAGAATGCTCATTGTTTCGCCTAAGGGTGAAAATCAGTTAATTTGAAATCACATGGTTTCACTCACAAAGAGATTCTTTCCTTCAGCGAAGACTCTGACCAAGGGTGGTCACCTCTGATCGCCTTGCACATTTTCTTGCTGATAGCGATCTTTTATATCATTTGGCAAGCCTCATGAACAGTGCAGTCAGTCAAAGTAATTATTGTTATGCTTTGCTCAGCTTATAAGTGAAACGGCGCCATTAAAAGAATCATCCTACACAGACACATTCGGTTAAAGGAGCTATAATTGTCATTACATAATGAAAACATTAACCTTAAGAAATAGCAAAGCGAAAGAAATATTTGTCACCAGATTATGCTGAATAGCTTGCAACGCCTGAAATGGAAGAAGTGCTTCACTGATTTCTGAACACCAGAAATAAAGAAAAAAAGAACAATTAGTGACACATTTCCCTCCATCAAACTCTATATCTTAACTTTAATTCGTAGGCACCAGCAGCTGTTACCTCGACCCGGTTCACCGTGTCTCTTTCCATGGATGGTGGACTCAATACCGTTGGTAGCGCTATCCTGACCGCCTATGCACGGGCACCCAACGTCACCACGGTGAAGTTCAGTGACACAGCCTCCTCGATATTAGTTCTTTTCGACATCGATATTGACATTGCCAATGACGATGAAACTTGCGAAAATTTCTTTAGCGCAGAAGTAGTTGTTACTTTTGGAATTGACGCAGACTGCTACTTAAGCAGCTGGCGAGAGGTAACCATTCTCCTCGGAGCCGGCGCAAATATTACCACTGGCGACAATTTGGTTTTTAAGGATAATGTTTTCCAAGCCTACGGAGAAACATACAGTGAGTTTTACAGTGGTTCAGTTCCAGTCCAGGGGCCTGATGATCCCTTACGGCCCACACCCGTGATCACAGGTAAATTCAGTTGTGTTGTTTAAGGAGACCTCATATTGAATGATGATAAAGAGAGTTATTACAAGTATTTAATGTTGGGTTAGCCGTTAGCCTGAGTGTTTCTGGTGTGTTTGTGAATTTAAGTATGTGACCTCAATAACTATAGGCAGTTAGGTTAATTTTATATTTTTTGTCATTGAAGTAGGCTCAACTGCAGCAGAATTTCCCTGTTGGCTTAAGCCCAGGATTCACCTTCAAACTTGAATACTTGTTTTTGTAGTTTCTGCACACAGATCACTTTGATTTTGTGTATACCACACCGCGCTTTTCACGCGCGTTGATTGGCTAGTTCGGAGGTAAATAGCAAGTACTATTCACCTTCGAGCAGCCGAAGAGACAAAATCGCGCAACAAGAGTTTAATTTGCGACCTTTTTTGTCGTATTGAGAGAAATGAACTTTTTTTTGGTATCTGTTGATTGTTCACTATTCCTTTAAGGCTTGATTATTTACTGAAAAATGACCGTCTGTATCCGTATCACTGAATATTAATAATTTGTATATACTATAAAATGGATGGCGTTGAAGGCTACTCAATCTCTGAATATATCTTGCTATACACCACTGAGCAACATGTGTGAACTTTGCACCAGAAAATATTGTACTCGTTGCAAGAAGTAATGAATTAAAATCAACCTTTTGTTTCATATTATCTCAGTGTGTTAGTATATACAAAAAAGGAAATTTTAATCAACTTCGTAATGATATTTAACTTATTAAGGTTAAGATTACATTTGAAACAGAATCATCCTCGTGCGAGGATAATTTTCATACAGAGGGTATGAGTTCTGTTCAGTTTTTCTTTTTCTCGCTAATTAATGAAGTACTATCTCCTTTTTGTAAGGTCCTGAAGTTCTCTCCTCCTGTGGAAATCTTTCTCTCTCTGGATCCCAGTCCTACGGAGGTGGTGGCCGGCCACTCATCTTTAACTGGTCCGTGACATCACCTGATGACAATGACGTAGCAGACATTACAAGTGTCCTCGATGCGCTGAGTTCAGATGATGATGACGTGAAGATCTATGGGGAATTACTTGACTCAGGGAAAACATACGTGTTTAAGCTTGAAGCGGCAAACTTCCTTAATCGGGCAGATTTTCAAGAAACGACTCATATAGTAACTAAAAATTCTGATCCCGTCCCAGCCTTAACGCTGAGTTCAAGCATCGATCTAATAGACGGGGAGGTTTATGTATCGGAGGAATTTTCTATCAAAACAAACGCAATTGTAAGTAAATCCATGATGCTCACATTGAAAGCGGTCAATTCTTCATCTCCTTCCTCATCCTCTTCTTTCTTCTTTACCCTTCCTCCACGTCTTCCTCCTCTTTCTTTTCCTTTCTCTCATTTCCGTATTCTGCACGTATTTTTTCATTCTCTACGTTCTCCATTCTCCCTTTTTCCCTTCTAATCCTTCAATTTTTCTTCCTTTTCCTCCTCATTTCCCACCCTTCCTATGCTTCCCCTTCCTGCTCCTTCTTTTGCCCTCTCCTATTTACACAATTACAAATGAGTTTCACTATCAGGTCTAGGTAAGAGCTAATAACATCTTCCATTTTTTTTCTACAAACACGTCTTCAATAGATTCCTTTGACTCTTCTAAGCCTCTGAGTTATTCCTTTCAGGAACAAGAGTCTCTCTCGTTTTTCAGCTAAAACCCCCTAGGACATTATTTGATGAGGGGATGCCTCATTCGTCCATTATGAGTAGTGAAATAATCACCCTAGATTTCCATCACTCAATCTAAGTTGTCGTGCGAGAGACAGCTTTTGTCAACCTCCGATAATACAATTCTTAATTTAATCTACAGGTAGCACCTTGTGCCAACAACACTAGAATGACCTTTTCATGGATGGTAACATGTACCAACCCAAAAGCAGAACTAAAGGTGCGAGACAGCGCTTCGTTTCAGAACACGAAAAACAAGCCCGCTCTCAGATTAAGTCGGGGGATACTGACAGAGGATGTCAGTTGCACATTCAACGTAACTGGAAGTATGAGCTATGATGCAAATATTAAGAGCTCCGTCAGCGTGGTCATTAGGGCTTTGGCCACTCCACTCGATCCCTACATATCTGGAGGTGAGGACTGTTTCATAGATCTTTTCCGGCTCCTATTGTCATTTCTTGATATCTATTTGTACCTTCTTTCTAGGAATCGTTTAAGCGTGGATATTTTTACAAAGCGTAAAACGCTTTCCAAACTATTTTGTTTTTTAAAATAGCATTTTCCGTGAAAAATGGACCTTTTAGACATATTTGTCATATCGATTCCGCAAAATATAGTGCTTTTTTCCAGACGAAGTGAAATGTTGGCTTCAAAGCAGCACTATTTAGGCAAAAAACACGGAAATTGTTCCTTTGTAATAAAAGCAAAATGCTTCAGTTTTCACAGATTAAGAAAATGTGTTGCTTCAAAAGAGCAAAATTTTGTATAGTTCAACGGAAAGTTAAATGTAGGTGCATTTTACTCATACAAACATTCAATTTTTTACTGCGTTGGTTGTTAACTCTTTTCAAAGTGCATATAATGCTCAGTACGTTTAAGAGGGGAACGATAAAGTCTTTGATTTTGACCCTTAATATGTTTAAGCAGTTTTTCTTTTCAATTTCATTTGACATGGTATTACGAGCTGTAATGCTGCAAGGTTTGATGGCCCAAGCGTGCAAAAATTCTGCACGCCTTGATGTCCAGTGCTGCAGAAATTCTGCACGCCTTGGACATTTTCAAAACAGGATGTATGAATTCATCAACACTATCTTGACTATGATTTGAACAAGTATTAGTGTAACAAGGCTAGCTTGACTTTTGAGCAGATAATGTTTTACTAAAGTTTAGCTTTACTGAACATTTTTTTATAACCGTGAGTTTACTGAAGCAAATTAAAACGCATCCCTTCAGTGAATTCGTTGGAACTAATTCGTGCTGAGAGAGGACCGGTAAGATATTGCAGGCCTACGACGAATTTTCGAAAAATCAGTCTACGCGTCACAGATATAAGGGGAAAATTTCTAATCTCTCCTCTAGCCTGTATGGTTTCAGGGAAATCTTGAGGTTTTCACGCTATGAAAAAAAAATTCAGGGTTCAAGTGTACTTCGGGCCTCACACAGTTTCGTAAATTCACGAATAACGTTAACCTTTCAATAAACTTCACGCGTCACATTTTAACTTTGGCCTTCATCACGCGTCACGTATAAACCCTTAATAATGCACCAGCTTATTCATACCTTAAGTTTCCTATCAGGAGGTGATTCTCCAAAGGGTCCAGCAAAAGAATGTGATGACTCTTGCAAAGATTCGGCACCGTTTATTTTTGGAGAAATGGTCAACTCTTGTTCCTGTTCTGTAAACGCACGCACCATACTTTCAACACTCCCATTCCCCTTATCTTTCTGAGGCATCTGGCGCACGAACAATTTAACGGACGAAAATCAGATGTGAGGTAGTTCAAAGACTGACTTTTTCCAAAGCTGACAGACCTATGAATCACGAACTCGTGTCTTCTCATCATTGCCTCTCTTGTGATAAGATTTAGGGAGCAGTTAAGAGCGGCGAAGAGAAAGTCGCAAACAACTACATTTCCGTCTGATACGGTGGCCGGTAAGAACAAAACAGAGTCACAAAACCTACAACACAAACACAAACTTAAAACAGAATCACAAAATCCGCAACACTAACACAAAACTCTAAATCAGAAACTTAAAACAGAATTACAAAATCCGCAACACTAACACAAAACTTTACAACACAAACACAAAACTCTATACAACACAAACACAAACTTAAGTTTGTGTTTTTGTTGTAGAGTTTTGTGTTAGTGTTGCGGATTTTGTGATTCTGGTGGTTTGGAAACGCTCCGATTTCGCTTATACCCAAGGATTTTTAATTTGAAGTATTCGATGACAAATTTGGTCGGCAACAAGGTGGATTTCTGAAGATAACGTAAAAGAAATGAAACAAACAGGATAAACTATTCATCCTCACCCCTTTTTTAGGTGATCGACAAATAGGTCGCGACAGTGGTTCGGTAGAGCTCGACGCTGAGACATTAACAGTGGATCCTGATGACCTTGACGATTCCGGTGGAAGCTCTTTTGAATGTGACTGGAGCTGTAAAGATGGTGATGAACGCTGCCGCTCAACTTTGGACAAAGAGATTATATTATCCGCTAATTCTCCATGTATAACCGCAGTACAGAGCAAACACTTTGCAGCAGGAAAATCTTACATAATCAGGTATGGGTAACAATCATCTTCATCATTAACATTGCTAATGAAACTTAGAGCTTTGTAATTCTGTGAAGGGAGTCTAACAGACGCTAAATGGTAGGATCTGGGCTCAGGCTACTATTTATTGCTCGAAGAGCCACATGGCTGAGTCATGGTCACGATTAATTTCTAAGAAGTACCAAATATGGCCTTCTGTGGTTCCCACCGCATCCCCTCTTGCCAGTGGTAAACCAAAAATCACTTCTTTCTCCATATCTCAATAACCTATGCACTAATTTCGAGCAAATAGTCTTTGGAGATGATTATGACCTGATTAAACAACTTCTGTGTACTTTGTGTGGTGCTGGGTCAAATCAACTAAGAACATAGAGCGGGAAAACAAAATTGGTTGGGTTGTAAGTTCCCTGGATATAACTAAAATGCACAGTTGTACGAAATACTTTTGCCATAGCTGATGACCTTTTCACCACGAGACACTGCATTCAACCGACATCTCCCTTGGTAAACTTTCCATGGTAAATACCCATAGACTCTTCAAAAAGGGTCACCGAAAGCGCCTGTAACATTTTCGCAAGAGTGATTTGGTGCCCTAAGTAAAAGGGAAAATGTTGATGCTTTGTTTCGTTACGTTCTCGTTCCCGCCACCGATGTGGTGGTGACGTAGTGTATTTTTCTGCAAACCACTTTATCATCAACGGGGTAAGTTTCGAAAGAAACTGTGTGGCTGCGTCGGTGGGAGAGTATAACTGGGTAATTCAGTATTATCAACTGAGTCGATAACGTAAGTTGGCCTTTGTAAAGAATTTAAAAGCCGACGTTTCGAGCGTTAGCCCTTCGTCAGAGCGATTGGATGGGCTAACGAGGAGTTAACGCTCGAGACGTTTGCTTTTAAATTCTTGCGGTGGCCAATTTACATTATCAACTCAGTTGATAATATTAAATTACTCTTTTTTATCACATCGCTTCAAGCCACCCAAGAATGTAACTTGGTACCATTGACCTGTCAGTGAAACAAGACGAAATCCCAGAGCGTCTCATCCAGGGGTAGCAGTAATAATCCCAGTCGTAAACTGTGATTAGCTGCCCTTTTTTTCTTCATAATTGATAGTCCTTTACTAAAATTTTTACTCTTATTTACCAGCGTGACTGTGAGCAAAGGATCACGATCAGCCTCTACCTCTATAACGCTGACCGTGGTGGAAGGAAACCCGCCCGCTGTGTGGGTGGATTTAGCGCAAATGAAGGTCAAAGCAAGTGAAAGAATAAAATTGGATGGATACTATAACTCAAGCGCCAAGCCTGATAAAGTAGAATGGAGTTGCCCTCCGGCACAAGGTGCGTTCAGAATAAAAGGTTAAAGTGTTTTGCCATAAAACATCCAGACTAAGGATTCCACTGCATTCAGAAGAAAAGTAAGAAACTCTCCCCTGTTTGTCTTTTAGGTTTTTCCACTGTTGACTTGACCAAATACACACTCGATGAAGAATACTACAGTGAAGGTATATCATTTGCAATGATGGTTATCCCCCAGTATGTTCTGAAACCGGGCAGTAAATATCGATGTAAGTTGACAGTGAGAGAAGGAAGTAACGAGGGTGCAGCATTCGTGGTGGTGGAGGTGAGAACTGGGCCCAGTTCCGGTACGTTCGAAGTTTCTCCTACTTCTGTGCAAGCACTGGATCTCGTAACTATGACAGGTGAGAAACAAATCCCTTTTAATTATTGTTTCTTCCCAAATTTTCGTATGGGAGCAGTCAAAAAGAAGTCAGCATATTTGACTGACCTTGGGATGCTGACTTATCAAAAGCTTAGGACAGACCGAGAACCTTCAAGAGGGCTCAATAACTGCTGGCACCTTACTTTACCAATGCATCGCAACTTCCTCGTTACACTTGGAGAATATTACTTAGAACTTTGTGCCAATACCGTCCAGGAAAACCTGACTAACAGGTTCCCATGAACAAAACATCTATAAGTTGAACCAAAAACAACGCGGAACTTGGTGATGACGTCCACTCGGGTGGTCGAAACATCAATTACTGCCTACGAAACATATTTTTTCAGGAAAACCACACCCACACCCAGACGATCAGACCTCGCGACTTTCTTACTATTAACTAAGTTCTGGTTCTCAAATTTATAGCAAAGCAATGGACGACTGATTCAGACGCTGGCCCACTTCGATATTCATTTGGTGAACTAATTAGTGCAGACATCTGCGAGACATATGGGCCTCCATCTTCCACACCAGAACAGGAAGACATCGTTCCGCCAGGATCTGGTCCAAATAATGTCCTCACCTTATGCTGTGTGATTGAAGATAAGTTCGGATCGTATGCTATTAAAACGTTCAATATCACTTCTAGCCCGCCGGATCCGGCAGATCTAGACCCCGCTGCTTTGGATAACTTGTTCGAAAATGCCATTGACGATAAGTTACTGAGTGGAGACACAGATAAAGCTATGGGAGCATTGATCAGTATAACAGGCACTGTTTTCGACGACTCCAGTAACACCTCAGGTGAGCGAATGATCGTGGTCATAAGTGATAGTGTACCATCCAAGCGATGATGGACTAACCAATTATCTGAACTACTACATTAACTTGAGTAATGTTTTTCTTCTTTTTTTTCCAGATGAGCTGAAGCGCAATATCTCTCAAAAAGCACAAGCAGCTCTTCTGCAAATCCTAGATGCTACTGAAGTTGACCAAGATAATGCAGCTCCTATGTTGACCGCTTTAGTCCAAACAGACCCAAAAGCTGCCGGTAACAGGTAAACACTGAAGCATTCCGACGATTCCTAAAGTTGAAAATGTTCGTTAATGTAGTAATGTGTAGTTTAAATTAAGGCATTTTGGGGGTTCTTGTTGTTACATTCGAATTTTTGCTGTTTTAAGTGCTTTATTTGCTTGAAGCTTTAGACTTTGCATAAGCGCAAGATTGGAGGTTATCTCTACATTATGCGTTAGAGCTTCGGACAGATTTAATGAATGTAACCGAATAAGTTACAATTCATATACCCAACGTTTCTACACTCCTGTCTAGTACCTTCATCAGGGGTGATCCAAACGTTGCAACAAGAGGTCCTTTTATACTATCACTAATTAGATCACCCCTGATGAAGGCACTAGAGGAGTGTTGAAACGTTGGGTCTATGAACTGTAACTTCTTCGGTCACATTCATTAAATCTGTAAACCAGAGTAGCATCAAACCAAGTCTGATTGTCCACCTGGTTGCCGTGTGAACTTTAATGTAAGATAGAAATAGTTCATAACTATTTGTCAACAAGAGCGACATATACCGCAAACATATTTAATAGCGATCACGAAAAGGTCTCTAAACACTTCTTTTTATTACCAATGTTTTATGATTTTCAATTTATCGGTTAGGAATGCTTATGCCCTTCGTCCAAAGTTCAGGTTCTCTAAAACTTTGCTCTCCCTCGTCAGTTACTACTATTAGCAATTACCTCGACCGCCATCAACCCTTAAAGGTGGACGATAAAAATGCTAATCTAATCTCTCCTTTTCTTTTTATGTATTTAGCTCCGGCGTGGCTTATGCAGCAGTGAAGATTTTGGATGGGTATGGCGAAAAACCCATTCCCATTGAAAAGGCAGACAAATTTCTCGATTTTATCAGCGACCTTGCTGGCGACTTTGTAGAAAACGACACCAGCTTACAAGAGGTAGGTCAGGACGCTCCAACATTGCTTTTTGATACTCTCAAACATTCAGGGGAAAAAGGGATAATTGTCGGGCAAATTCGGAACAATCAAACCCTATTGAAGGCACATCTACGAGAAGCTAGTCAGGGTCTGTTTGGTAGTAAGAGTGATGTAAATGGCCATTGATCGAAAGGAAAAAATTAACCAGAGCACGAAGCGGGATCGATAAATCAACTTGTACGCCCCGTGCAGCAATTTCACTTTTCACACTCCTTCCACAAGCCACACAGTTCAACTGACGGAAACTTTCTCTTGATGGAAGTTAGGTTCGGCTGCAAGTACGGGATTTAAGATAAGTTTAGTACTTAGTGGCGCTCGAACCTCCTTGAATAGTATACAGTGTTCATCTGATATGAGGTTTTCCTAATACGGCGATCTATGGGATTTCTTAAGATCCCCATCTGTTCTCATTGAATGTGAGAACAACGTTTCATGCGAGGGGTTGTTGTTAGATACATGTAATACTCTCCTCGAATTTGGCGATCGTTTTCTACACAATCCTAATTTCTTGCATCGATGCACTACCCCGTTTTGCTTATTGAAAGATATGCGTTTTGAGCTTTCATTTCTTTTACTTACAGAACGTGGAAGCAGCGTTTGATTCTCTTGCGAATAATTTCGCAAATAATCTTTTCCTTAACGACGAGAAGGAAATATTCAATGAAAATCTGGGGTCAGTTAAGGTTAAATTAACAGACTTGAAGAGTGTAATGAAGGCAAACAGCAAACCAGGTGCCCCCAGTTTTAATCCTGGCCCGTCACTGGTGAACCTCTTCAGTGGTCCAAGAAAGTGCGAGGGCGGGAAAACATGCCAGGGAGTAGTTGTGCAGGTGGTCCAGTACAAGAAGGATTTGATCGCAGTGGATAAAGATAAGCAGGATGACCAAGTTGATGTTGATCATACCCAGGTGAAGCTATCCACTATGCCTTCCGGCTGTAATCAGTTCAGGGTCACTGGATCACCTAGCCTTAAACACATAGCTGAAATTCGCTGCTTGACGCGGCTTTTTTGCCATCGTAACTCAAGAGAAGTTAAACTGAAATCAAATGTAACCTTGTCCCTTGTGTTACCTGCACTTTCGATCATTAACGAGTAATTCCTTTGTGCTTGGATTGGTTCATTATGACAACTTTGATGCGCTCCAACGAGGATTCCACCATCATATAAAGCAGAATTGTTTTGCATTCAGTTCACCCGTTTTAACCTCATGCTTACTTTGTGTCTTACAGGTTCTTGGCATTGACTTAAAAGACCCAGTTTCGAAAAACCCACTTCCAGTTACAAACCTTCCACAACCTCTTACCCTGACATTCACTGTGTCAGCCCTGCCGGTCGGTAAACAACGTGGCTGTAACTACTTTAAAAAAGATACAAAAACATGGGACAAAAAAGGAATGACCGCCGTGGATGGAGGAAATAACACATTGAATTGTCTTTCAACTCACGCGACATTCTTTGCTCCGTCCAATGATGCAAGTAATGCGACAAACGCCACCACGGCACCACCAACTGTTGGAGGTAAAAATAGGTTTTGCTCTCCTCTCTCTCCCCCCCTTACCCCTAAAACGAAAAAACGTCACGCACAAGTCATTTCCAGTTCCATTTAGGATCTCATCCACCCGCTTTTCCCACAGACACAGGGGGGTAGGGTGAAATCAGTAACCTTGTATTTCTGGAGGTGAATTACAGTGCTAAAGGCCTGTTCATATGGAGTTGAGGAAGGTGAGGTTACCTGATTTGGTACGGTAGCCGGCCAGTCCACACAATCTCTAAACTATCTGGATAACGTTTTTTTGATGGGTGGGGTAACCCGCCATTGCTGGTTAGGGTAACCCTGTCAGCCAGGGTCGCAATTCGTCATGTGAATGTCTCAAGGAGGGGTAACCCGCTTAGCCGGGGTCGCTTTCATATTACCTTTGCAAGCGTGCCAGAGTCTCTCCCTGGAATCTCGGGGTTGTAAGATTGTATGTAAACGCAGCCTGTTTTTCGACCACGACTAGGCGAGTTACCTCACCTACCTGGGGTCTCCACCTTCAAGTAAACAACCCCTAAGTCGCGTGCTTATCGAATTAAATACTGCGGTGAAATCAGACAAGGAATTTTAACTTAAGACCACTCCTTTAGCAACGTTCACATCAGATCGATCATTGGTTTGTATGTAAATGATTCTCTCTTGATTATAAGTGAAGAAATCTCTCCATTTTCTCATTATTTGACGTTAAACATTTTAACTTTCTTGTTTTGCAGCGACACCAACAGAAAAAGAGGACAAAAACATGACAGCAGCCATCGTGGGTGGCGTAATAGGTGGCCTTGTGTTTATCGCTCTAGTCGTTGGTGTTATATTGTATCTTAACAAGAATAAGAATAAAAACTCAGGGAGGATCTCCCCCGAGGATCCATCTCATTAAGAAGGGAAGAAATATCTGTAGGTCCTATCATTCACTAAAGAACACGCAAACTATTTTGTTAAAATATTTCTTGCAAAAAAATTGATCATTGCGAAACAACTGCAACCCCAGACAGATTAGCTATCGTTGTACAAAGTGTGAACTGTTAACTTTGAACCACTGAAGAAGCGAAAATTCTGGCGCATCTACGCTTGCAAGTTTTCCCTGACGGTTGTAGATGGAAGCTGAGATTAGCTATTTATTGGTGAGTCTTTGAATCTGGTTTAAAGGTTTTGAATGAGGAACTTGTCCAGGAAAATCTTAACAACGACGAAAATCTACTAGTATAGATTATGTGATTAGGACATTGCTCTGCTGGATCCGTCAATAGGATCCAGTATGAATTACGAAAAGATGAAGTAAGAGCAAATGGACAAAACTAACTAGCGTTTTGGGCAGTTTTTTTTTCAGTCTTTTCAAAACATTTTTTTATTAACTTTTAGGTACATGATACATATTTCATTGCCGATTTGTCTGAGGCAAATAATTCTAAAATTTTCCTCACTAACCAGCATTTTTAGTTTGGTTTACATTCGTAATTGATATTCAGAAGAGATCACCAGAGTCATCTTTGACGATGGCAAGCATTCACCTAACTCTGTAAATAGTTTAATGTGTGTATCATTTTAAACACATTTTTAATCACTAGTAGTTCAAGGCTTTTAAGCTGTTTTGAGCTATGATGCAGTAAGTCATGGGGGGACGGGGGGGGGAAGGGGGGAGGCATGCATAAAATATGTTTCCATGGGGTCAGTGACCTCTAGTGAAACAAGGCCTAGAAAGGATTGTAAATTAGAAAAAAGAAAAAATGAAACAGTTATGTGTTGTCAAATGTAGCATTTACACAGAAGTACAGATGCCTCCGTTGAAAAAATTTTTGATAGGGACTGGTCGCCTGGGAGGGAGGATTTTGGTTGTGTCCCCTTATACTCTGTCGGCGACAACTGATTCTCCCCTCCTCCCCCCCTAAAAACCATGTGTATCCCCTCCCTCCCCGACAACAAATAACGACTAGTTCCTCATATGCTGATGGCTTTAGATTAGGATTTTACTGGGAGGGTTTTTTAGCGGTGTATACAAGAGAAGTAAAGCCGTTTCGATTACCCGCTTTACATGCAATCACCCTCAAACCCAACAAGCGGTTATCAAGTGATCATAAGTTTGAAGTGTAATAGACATGCACCCTGTGTGTAAAATAATGTAGGAAAACATTTACAATAAATTTTTCATAATGTGGTTTTTTCTCTGTGATATTTATCCACCGTATAGCTATGTTGGAATGGCCGTGATACGAACTGTAACATTCATGGAAGGGTAAACAAAGGGACTGAACCGTTCCAGACACCACAAATATTTTTTGCCTTCCACAAAAACCGAATGTGAAATCGTGATACTCACCGTGTTCTGTGAGATTCCAGACTGACCTGACCTTCTGAAAATCGTCCTAAGTTGTGCTAAAATAAGACAAAGGCGCTGGTAGTTTTAAAATTGCTTATTTGTCTTGCCACTCACCATGACGTAACGTTCTTCGGGCCAAAACAAGGCTGCACTCGAATTCGAGTATCAATTCGGACTTAGGCGCGACCTAAATTCAAACACAGCGGCCTATGGTCAACGCAGTCGTTTGTAAATTGTGCGCTGCGCTTCCTACCATTTGAGTTGAATTCTGGGACGTCTGCGAGTGCCGCAAGAATAAAGAGTTGGTTTCGAAATGGCGGCGCCCTTTTTTTTTCCTAAGAAATATACGGTTGATATCTGGAACGTGAAACGAGGCTTGTTGCTCTTTCATTTCAACATTCACTTTTTAATGTGAGAAATTTTTTTTTTTTTTTGGGGGGGGGGGGGGGGGGAGTTTAGAGAAGTCTTCTCCTTTAAAGTGGTTCAAACTATTGTATTTGATTTTAAAACAATTATTTAACAGTTCAAAGTCACCATGAAACATTTCAGTGTTCATTTGAGATCTTGAAATTAGTATCCAAACCATCTGTAAGTGATCTACAATATCATAATTACCTGCAGATTCTAGTTTTGTTCTTGTGGAATATAATAATCCTTGAATTATTTGCTTTCATCTGACCATGCGTCGTTGTCGTAACTTTGTTTTCGGGATGTCGTTGATCGTCGTCGCATCTTCGTTTCGTCGTGTTGTCGCAACTAATGATGCAGTATTCAATCCAACAGGATTTCTCTCAAGTTAATTGCTGTTCGGGGTATGACAATAATAGTGTTTCTGGTTCGCTTTCTGTTGTCAAGATGCGATGATCAAAGAGAACAGCTTCAAGAGAAATCATTGTGCGTCTGTTGCTGTTGGTTAATAGGTGGGACTGAAACAAATTCAATGCTTATTTACTTGATAGAAGATTAAAACTAACATGTTATGCCCGCTGATAGCAGGTGCCAAGCAGGTGAGTGGCCAGTTGATAAATAATGATATATGCCCCACGAGCTAATAACCACAAGTCAAATTAGGATACAAATTAGCATTTGAACCTAACTTTGTGATGCATTTTCGTTCAATCCATCGCTGAAGAACTTTCTCTTTTGTCAAACAGTTGCAGATTATTTTTGCTCATGTGGCAAATCACAAATGGAAATCGCCCTCTGGTTGACACAGTCCTGTATCCTTGCTGTGGCCTTATTCGTTTCTCTTGGGGAAGAGCTGGTTTTAAACCCAAAGGGAAACGCTCTGTTTCTGAATTCTATTCCCGTGCTAAATGAAAAAACTCGGCATCAGCCCAACATGTCACAATGTTACCTGTTGGAGAAGCCTGCAAAGTGGCAGATTTCATTCGGTGTTCTCACCGCCGCACATGCAACCTTCTTACTCGTGCTTTTTAGACTGCGAAGCCACAAGAAATCTCCCCAGCCTATTTTACCCGTTCTGTGTGTAACCAGCTGGTTGATGGTTGTGTTGCTTTTGTGCGCAAAGATCGTTATTTATCTAACACCGAATGTAACCACTGAAATAGGCCCAAAAGGTGACTATATCACCATGATTCTTACTGTTGCCTGGGAGGCAACCAGGGCCCATTTCGAAAAATGGTCCCAAAGGATTTTTCACGCTGTTGTGCAGTCGATACAGCCTAGTAATTATATGCAAGATTTCATTCAATGGCAACTGAATAAAATTTACGTCTGCTTGCCTGAAGGTATGGCAATGGAAGAATTTGGGCCAAGGATACCTCGAGCTACCTTCGTGTTAGTTATAACATACTGCATTTCTAGTGGTTACGTGATATTTCTTGTTTTAAATTACGAGGAGGACACCGTTAAAATGAGCTGTGAGCAGTTCAACAGTAGACGTAAAAGATCTGCAAAGCATAGAGATTATGGTTGTGACAGTTTAGACCTGGAAGGGGAGGAAATGAGGCAAAGAAGAACCATAATGTGTAAATCGAAAAATTGCCTTCGGGGAAAAGAAAAATTTAGTGTTGCTTTCCTGGAAGAGAGTGACGAGGAATCTTTCGTATTCGGTTGGCGGTTGTAAAGGTTTTAAAAAACTCGCACAAGTTTTTTGTCAACAAAGCGATGAGTTACTGTGACTTCTTGTAAAAGATATCTCCGAAATGAGAATAGTTTACATTCACTAAGGTGACAGGACGAGATGGAGAATATACGCTAGTCAGAGGTTTCGTTTTTAGTAGAAGAGTAACAATTCTTTCTTTCTACTCACAAGACACTAGTGGTGTCGGAGCGTTTCGACGTTTGACTAGAAAACGCTATTGATGGCGTATCTGTGCAAGCTGAAGACATTTCCGTATTCTTACTTGCAAGGGGCACGCATGTAAAGAGATGATCCATGCAGGCGAGCTGCAAACAAAGAAATTGCAGGAAATGAAAAAGGAACCTTGAAGAAAATTCAGGTCGAACCCGCGCGCCTCAGAGACCGATTAGACGCTATGACCATCTGAGCTACGAAGCCACATGCTGAAAGCCAAGCAAACGTTTCCGGATTCCTCTTTCTCGTAAATGAATCTGATCATAATTAAATATTAAGATGGAATACATTTTCCTTGGAGAAATGCATCAATGCAGGACAGCGTAGGCATGCCGGACCCTGTGTGTGACGAGTTACAGCATCAAAGAAAAGGTGTTGTAGAGGCGGAATAATCTCCCAAAATGATCGCGATCTTTTATCTGGGAGCCCACTGCGCTTGAACAAACTGAAAAATGCCTCAAGTTAACCGAACACAAGATATAAAGGGGCAAAACCTTTTAAAATATTACTTCAACAACCTTGTGAATTCGAGTTTTATTTTCCCCAAAGTTAATTACACGTATACGTACGAAGAACCGTTTAAATACGTGTAGAGAGTATTTACTTCCAGCACAAACAGTCAACATAAAATTGCGGAGAAATAAATAGAGAGTGTGCAATGATCACAAGATTTTTGCAGAAAGATACGGATCAATGTCAGAACCAAAACAACTGCGCACCTACCCTTCCCCTAACTCAACACTCACCCTAACTTGCTATCAGTTGATTGTTGTTGCGTGAGGGGAGGGCTAGGTGCGCAGTTTCTTAGACACTGCCATCGATCCAGAGATACCATAGAGAAAATTCATCCGAGCTTCTGTGTAACATTGTGCACAAGGCATGATAAAAACAATCCAAGAAAATTTGAAGTGGTAATCGTTAAAAAACTATATCTCCACTACTATAGTACTCTCTCTCTCTTTACTTCTCCAAGGTGTGAATTAAAAACGATTACTTTTTTTTTTAAATGAAAACGAACTTTTAATATCAATGTAAAAAGAAAATAATAAAAACGCTTTGCGACCATACGGCAACGCACTTATAAAATCATCAACCTCTAGAATAGCAGAATGAGAGGGAATAAAATTAAAAACACCGTCATTTGAATTCTTATAAAAAAAAGCTTGACCGACATTACTCTTGGTATCCATCGGGAGAGCTTGCACGCGTCCGAAAGTTTTCGAATATCTTTCAGCCAGTCAGCAAATAGCAAGACCACACAAGTTGCTTGGCAACTATGAAAAACGCTGTCTCAGTCCAATTCTACCTAAATTCAATCTGTCATTTTGAGTAGAAGAAATTCTTGGAGAGGAAACGTTTCTTTAACAACTTATTATTTATCATTAATAAGCTAGTTTTAACAGTTATTTCTGACAAAACAGGGCGCACTCGCGAAATATGTCCCTTTCTAAAACGCAAGCACACTTTCATCCTTGTAACATCGCTATCGTCCTTACATACATGTATCTTCCATAATAAAATGCATCCGTCACTATTTTCGTCGAACTGTTCGTCTTGCGGCTCTTGGGTAGCATCGCAACATGGGAAGGCAAATATGACGTTCAAACCTCAAAAATTTCTCGACATCTTCACTGCTTGGACCGAATTCCTGAATCAACGGCATTCCCACGAAGCCACGCTGTCAGTTCGGCAGCAGAAGGACACTTCATCCTTACCCATACCACAGACATGTGGCAGGCACGTGGCTGGCAACCTGGACTTCACCGACGTTTCCCAGTTTTTCTCAATTGTCTTCAGTGGAGAAGAGGTAGTCACATTTTTCTATACACGTTTGAATGAATAACAGCAAGTACATGTGCGTAGACATCTCCAACCGGGTGAAGTCCGGACGAATAATAGTCGGGAATAAGACCAATGCTATGTTTCTCGATTCCATGAGATTGTCCTTGGAAAACTCCGTCACTCTGTAAAAAAGTGTTTTAAAAGAACGGGTATCTGCTTAAGCCACTTTGGCATTCAATTGAAAACCTTCCCGAGCCCGAAGGGAGTACTGTACACCTATATAAAATACATTGATGATACTGCCTGTCGGTATATTAACCCTTTACACCCTAACATCAGAATGCATATTCTCCATACTGTTCTCCGTGCATTTCTAAGGAAGCTGACGAGGAGAATTTGTTTAACAATCAAGAGCTGCTTCCATTAATGATCATCTGCTCTATTCTCATGACTTTCGTGTT